AACTTTCACAGACTTTAAAGACACAACTCTTCCATCTACACTTGAGCCTCTAACGCTAGCACTCTCTATTCTACTTGTATTCAATCGACTTGTTTTCTTTTTATTTCTTAAAAAAAAGAACTTGACCCTCTAATGGATAAAACTGTCTGCTAAATAATTGAATGTAAATGTAAAATTTTGGAACTACACATTTAATTTATGTCCTCTCTAGATGCACCAAAGAACGTCTCAGTGTCCATAAATGGATCTGGAGAAATAGTGGAGGGAGATTCAGTGACTCTGAGCTGCAGCAGTGATTCAAAGCCTCCTGCTCTGAGCTTCAGCTGGTTTAAAGGAGGAAGGTTTGTAGGATCTGGAAGAATCTACAGCATCTCAAACATCAGCTCTGATCACAGTGGAGAATATAAGTGCAAGTCCAGAAATGAACATGGAGAGAAATACTCTGATGCTGTGACTTTAAACGTCATGTGTGAGTTAATAATAAAACAAAAGATGCTTATTCTCTGTTTTTTTCTCATCTGTTAAGTTCTTATGAGTAATTTTAAAAATGTGTAAAAGGTTTTAAATAATCAATTTGGTGATTGTCATTAGATTCTCCGAGGAGCGTCTCAGTGTCCGTAACTGGATCTGGTGAAATAGTGGAGGGAGATTCAGTGACTCTGAGCTGCAGCAGTGAGGCAAACCCTCCTGCTCTGAACTTCAGCTGGTTTAAGGAGAATCAAAGCTCAGCTGTTGGATCTGGACAGAGTTTCAGTGCACTACAGAGTGGACGCTTCTACTGTGAGGCTCACAATCAACATGGATCTCAGAGATCAGACGCTGTTACTGTCACAGGTGAAGCTTTTATTAACACACTCCTGTATCTTCACATCATTCACCAGTTTGTTAATTATGATGATCTTCATCTTTCAGTTCATCCTGGTGCTGATAGGAACGTGATTGTGATCGCAGCAACATCTGGAGGAGTATTCATCATCATCATCATCATCATAATCATCATCTTGTTTGCAATGTGAGTTAAATAAAAAAAACTGCAGAGATTATATATTTTCACTTTTGTTCTGATGTATTAGAAATAGCTCATGCATTATTGATTATTAGTAATCCTTAAGAACAGCATTCATATTTTTTATCTGTACATTCTTTCATATGCTGGTAATGTCTGTCCTTATAACAGGATGAAAAGAAAGAGTGTTAAAACTGAAGATCTCACAATGAAACAGGTAAATCATCCACGACATGACTTTACAAAAGCAGAAACTAAATTAATCAAATTATGTCCTATTCTTCTCTACTCCATGAGTGACTCAAGGAAATATACTTTGTATTTTGCATCACTACATTCATGTGATTTGATAAGTCACACTTCTGTGTTCTGAGAATCTACACTTCAGGCATCTCTTAATTAATAATGATGTCGTTTTTTTTTATTTAAAAAAATTATCTTTATGCTGATGTGTCACAGAGAGTTTCGGGCCATGACGAGTCTCTTACTAAACCTGATACAGTCAATGATGCTCCGTATGCCAATGTGAAGCCCAGCAGATTCAGAGGAGAAACTCCTGAATCCAGAGATACTGAGGAGATCCAGTACGCAACTGTCCAGTATCACCAAAAGAAAGAGACGAACAGACCAGAAGACGATGAATGTCAATATGACGAAATAAGAGTTCATCAGCCTGATGCTGCCGAGAGGTGAGAAAAATCCAACATCACCAGCATCATCATCTAATCAGAGCTGTAACATCGTCCTGTTTGTTTTGATTTTTCAGGCAATCAAATGTTCAAACTGTGGAAGATGCATCTGTGATCTACAGCACCCTCAAATGAATGATACAGACCAGCGAACACAAAGCCTGTGCTCGACTGTTTAATGAGTGATTGTTGGATAATTGTACAGTTGTGGAATAATTTACTCATCTGTTCAAACCACAACCACTATAAACATGTTCAACACCCACATTAAGATGCATTTTTATTTTTTCGTAACAAAATTTTCCACCATTTGGAATTGAACCATTTCGTCTTCAGACCATGTCAACTAAAGCAAAATTAATTTGATCAGTCAAACCATTTCCGACTAATGCACAAACAAATTTGTCAAAAAGCTCACCAAAGTGGAAGTGAACTTTGAACAAACATGCTGTATTGTACGAATGCATTGGTGTATTGTTATGAAGCTTGGTATGTGTCTTCAACACCAGGCCCTGAATGTAGTCAACATGTTTTGTAATAGCGTGGTCAAAAATTTTAATGAAATTTCAAAAACACGCCAATATTTTTTTTATGATTAATTTAGCCTATTGTCATGAAACTAGAAAAACTACTACAAGGCAAGTTTATTTATATAGCACATGTCATACACAATGGTAATTCAAAGTGCTTTACATAGAAAGGAAGTCAATTAATAATATAAAAAAAAAGAATCACAACAATAAAACAATGAATTTATAAACTTTTAAAATGATAAAAAAAATAGATTTAAAATTCATTTAAAACAGTTAAAAATAGAAAATGATTATATATAAAATACAGTGCAATCAGTTCGGACGTAGCACAGTGCTCATTCAATAAATGCACAGCTAAAGAGATTAGTTTTGAATCTAGATTTAAATGTGACTAATGTTTTAGCACATCT